CGATATGCATTACCCACGGTCTCATCTGTCACTGTACCAAAAAGGCTTACATTATACAGGGATTAAGGTTTTTAATAGACTGCCTGCTCCTATAAAACTATTGTCAAATGATATAAAACAATTTAAAAGCGCATTGAGGGAATTTCTGTATCTTTATTCCTTTTATTCATTAGAGGAATATTTTAATATAATACAATAATATATTTTATAATTTTATTTTGATTTTATATTTATAATGTTATATATTTGATAATATTATATTTATATCTTGATTTTAGCATACTGTGCAGAAATGTGATAAATCTATTATATGTGTAGGCTATTCTTATTTTATTGTACCTATTTTATTGTTGACAAAGCTCTGTATAGGAACTGTTTTTTCTTTTATAATTAACTTTGACATGTTCTACATCCTGTGGCATGTTTGTCAATAACGATCTATGGAACAAATAAAAAAAGTGAAAGTGAAAGTGAAAGATTGTCTAGAAAATGTTGGAAACTCAACCTCTCACAAGTCTATGGGCTTCCACAGCCTGTTACAGGGATACTTTTACTTACTTACTTACTTACTTAGCGGCCTCCGAAGTCTAGGGGTAACGTTCCCACCTCATGACTCAAGGTACGCGGGTTCAAACCCGGCGGAGGTCGTGGAATTTTTAAGGGAGGAAAAATTCAGGGAACAAGTCCTCCGGGAGGGACTTTAAGCCGTGGGTCCCGTGTCGTAGATTTACGACACGTAAAAGATCCTCATGTCTCTAGGAGACCTCTGAGCAAAATTAGGCAACAAGTTTCCCGCCCAAGTAGTTTCCAGTGCCTCTGGTAGATGGGGGAAATATCAGGTACCGACGGCCGACCTCGTTGGCTGAACGGGACTGATAGCACGCACCAGTACCGGTAGGGTATGGCGACAGTAGAAATTAAAGGGGGACGCACAATGGACCAATAACTGGTCTAAGTGCACGGGGAAACCCACCCCCTCTAAAATTAATAATAATAATACTTACTTACTTACAGAACGAAACTGAAGAAAGTCCACACAAGTCACATCACATGATCATTTACAAGCCGGGGGTTAACCTCAAAGTTGCATTAGAACTATATTACATATTGTTAAAGTCCGTTTTAATATACGCTGCGCAGGTTTCATAATTTACAGCCTCAACATTAACAAAACCTACAACGGTTCCAAAACGGTTGTCTACGAATCTTGATGAAAATACCGTGAATGAAGGCTACGGAAGCATTTGATAGGGACCTGAAGATTACCTCTATTGAAGAATTCATTAAGGGTCTGATGTCTGGAATACCAGCCCCAAACGACAGACAAGCGTATAAATCCCACTCACCTGCAACTTACCTAACCATTTCGGGGCACTAGATATTCGTTCCACAGCTACATAACTATTCTCGAAGTAGAACTGTGCAAGCTGTAACAACACTGATTGTTCGGAGCTACCGCTGCCTTGTCAGTCAGCATCCGGAGTGTTCAGTCCACAGTCAGCGGCTGGACTGAATGGCCTCTGTCATGGGCAGCGGGCAAAGAATTGTAAACTTCCTCGTATGAACCGGATTTCAGACATTGGGTGAGAACACAACAAAATCTTAAGCCGAAATTTTAGTTCAGCCATGTCCAGCCTGACAATTCTATTTGCAAACATTTAAAAATAAATACTAAAAAATGAAACTGCACCACATCCCTCGTCACTCTCTGTGATTGAATCACGTACTTGATTTATTAGATTGCAGCACACTCTTGCATTGCGTAATCTGACTTTGCATTCCACATTTTTTGTGTCTATGTGCAACATCGATTAATATTCTCTCGTCGTTTTCTCTTTATTGTCACTACATGTTTCGGCCTAACCGGCCATCATCAGGTGTACAGGCTGTTGTGATGAAGGCATCTGCTGCTCACTGTAAAGCTGTTCGGTTTTCCTTATGCACTTGCCTCGGATTAATCCTAGGTTATGTGGGTTGTTATGCACCTAGGATTAACCCAAGACAATTACATAAGAAATCAGAACAGCATTACAGTGAGCAGCAGATGCCTTCATCAGAACATCTCCCCGTTTAGGCTGAGGCATGCAGTAACAATAAAGGGAAACCGACGTTACAGATAGACGGCAAAGAAATTGAACTCGAAGACAGATGCATTTATTTGCTTACCAGGAAATCAGCTCCTTATGAATCCAATGCTAGAATGACGGTCAGTAACATGTGACAGGGACTAAACACTAACTGGAAGATTCCTTATATAATAATTTAAAGGTATATTTATATTTAAATGATCATAAGATAGTGATGATATCTACAATAATGAGGCAAAACATATAAGCAATATGTGAAACACGAAAAGAATCAACACCATAGAGAAGAAATGAACTGAATCAAGAAAATGGAACCAAACATCTCGCACGTCGGCTGCACATTTAAACAGGTTAAAAAGAAAATCATACCTTGGGAACCAGGACCAGCGTACCGTGGCAGGCAGCAAGTTTGCGGGACTTCTTGATGAACACCGAAAGGAGATGGAAACGGTTTACATATGCCCGAACAACGCGAAAAATTCGGGTAAACCTCCCGGAGTAAAGAACACTATCACGATAAATAGCGGATATGGCGACTGCAGTGGAAAGAGGAAGCGCATGCGCACCGGGCGCCTAGGTAGTAAATTGGTGATCAGCCGAAAAATGGATGCCCATACACTGCGACAGCACACCCTTTACGATAATTTTATTTTCTTCTTCTTGAAGGAAAGATGTTGAAGATGAAGCACTCCTGCACGGAAAATTTCATATTTCTAAGCACTGCTACCACGAAGAGAGAAACATCGTGAAAATAATTTTAAAAAATTCCATGAATTAAATAGATTCTGGAAAACAATGGTGTTGTTAATCACCACGTATATTCCCTCCAGAATTGGAAGAATTGACGAAAGGAATATTATACTCGGGAAGTGTGGTTCTCGTATTAATATGAATCTCGCTGTGACATGGACCTCGACATGATAGGGGTCACTTCATGTCAAGGATCCCGTATTTGAATCTGGTCTTAATATTTTTGTTGTTTTAATATGGGCCTTGTCATAATATTGGTCTCATGTTAATAATTGTCACATCTGAATATGGGGCTTGCATTTATATGGACGTCCTTTCAACATTGGCCCGTTTTAATACTGCGTATCCTCTTCTAGTATGCTGCATATGAAACATGTTCCAATTGAATATACCATGACATATTCCTTTGGCACCATCTACTTACATACAGGAGGTCAGAGAAAACCCTCCACTAACCTGATGAACTGGGTAGACTCTGGAATTCAAGCGGGCCTTCCATAATTTGTTATATGAATTTTTGGTTTTAAAACATTCATAATTAGAGCTGTCTCTATGACGAAGAGTCAGTAAATAGATCACAAATGGATATAAAACATAAAACATGCGATATTCTAACCTGGAAAAAGCATTTATTTCTCGACATATCCGCCAACACCATTGACACACTTGACCCATCGCTCTAGCAGTACGTCGAAACCCGAGGCATAGAAGTCTTTTTAATTTTGTCTCAGCCACTTCCGCACCTCCGTTTCAACCTCTTCCTCATCAGCGAAACATTTGCCACCAAATTGTGAACCGCTTTACATTATAAACACTTCCTACTGCACAGAGGAAATATTTCTTTATGAATATACTATGCAGTGAGCCCTTTTGTCCACAAAAAAACGCACAACAGAATTTTGATCTTTGTTACTACACTCCTCGAGCAAGGTCGTCATTTTTAGTATTGAAATGAGCCCCTGAACATGGGCATGCGAGTCTACTACCTAGACTGTCATGAAACTGCATTGTGCTGCTACCTAGTGATACACATAGAAAACATGTGACGTCCTTTACAGCTGTTTCACTTCTATTTGCAACTTATTTACTGATTCTTTCCTCGTACTTAGACATATAACTGACGTGCTCTCACGTGTTTGTAGATGCAAAATGGCTATAGATTCAGACCTTCATGATGCTAATACCAATCTCCCTGCAAAATCGTGTTTTCGGACAAGGCATATTATTGGGAAGTGTGTTACTGTTTCGAACTAAACAGTTTCGTGGTGTATACACTGAGCAGATTTTGACAGTGTTGCCACCGTTTCGGCGTTACATATTGCATACATCTTCAACGTCGAAATGTGTAGACTATGTGACTTTCTGTAAATATATCTGTTTGTGTTTCTAAAACCCAAAGGGTAACACTCGCCCCGGGCACTTTAGGAACACAGAAACGCACCCACTTTGACACTGAAAATGGAAGAATATACGTGTACATCCGAAATGTCGGCAGCATTAACATCCAAAAGGTGTAAACACGCAGGAACTGACTTGACATCAACACTTAACTATGACAGCCTAAAACCAATTAGTATTTCCGCTATTCTCATTTCGTTCATTGTGTATTATGCTCCATTTCCAAGAGAGTGTGTGACGCGTCTTGGGGAGCCATTGCCCAATCGTGCTGCTACTTATAAAGAAACGTTCTAATTTAACCAGTGGTTCTCAGAGTCAAGCAACGAAGGCCGCGTGCCACAGCTGTTCGTGGACACGGAGCCCAAAGTTGAAGGAATGCACAAGAAAAATTCTGTGACTGAGGAGTAAACAAGATACTCCAGATTAATTTGTTCATGTTAATTACAACTGTTGTTCGGACTGAGTAAATTCGTGTCTACGTGACCTATCCTCCGTAAAGTGCACAGTCAGTATCGAATTTTCTCCTTTTTTTTTCCTTGGCACTACAGCCCCAGTGGACCTAGGCCTACCTCCATGAACTTCTCCGTTCACTTCGGTTTTTCTAGATCTTACACATTCTGTACGACTCCTTGGGCGGGTGATCAGCTCGCCGCAAGGCTTCTACCTGTACACAAACACAGAAGAACGCACACACACAAACTAAACATCCATGCCCTGAGTGGGATTCGAACCCATGATCCCGGTTTCCAAGCGAGCGAAGACAGTACATGCCTTAGACCGCTCGGCTACCGTGACCGGCGAATTTTCTCCTTATCGAAAGGAAAATTTGACAGTAAGATCGCATACTTCTATTCATAATCGGAAACCTCCAATTTCAATAAACACATAAATATAAATGTTACAATAGTAATTACACCCACATATACAGAGTCTTTATACTAAGTAAAACTCTCATTTTCGTATATGAAATTAGTGGAAAATTCTCGTGGTTTTAATTTCCACTGATGACGTTCTTCTAGTTCTAAATGCTTACAGACCAGTTCTCTCAGTTTTCTAAATACTGCGTAGGCTGAAGTTAGTAAAAATCAACACAAGGGTACCTCAGACGGAGTGGCCTTGCTAATTCAAGATACATCGTCATCCCTTATACATGAATATGATTATGAAACTCAGAAGCAATATGTACAGCAAACTCGCCGCATCCCTCCTTTGAGAGGCATTACAGAGATCTGTTTCGCAGACTGCACAAATGACATCTTCAGGAAGAAAGTTCTGCTTCACTCTGTTGCATATTGTGTCCACTGTCTTCCTGTTTGCGCATCCTCTTTCCTCTAAATGATTACTCCCTCCTGTTGAGTACAGAAAATATTAAAACCTGTATTCTATGGGCTGGGATATTTCCATGCTATGTGGGTCACTTTCCACCACGGCATGGCGCGTCCTCATGGTGCGGACTCTATGGAGGGTAGCTGCGAATATATTGAACAGGTAGGAACAGACAGACAACAAGAGGCGATCCTTCAGCTTTGGGGTTGGGTGTGGAGCTAACCATTCCTCACCTTACAAAATAATTTGAACGGATTCTTTGAAAAAGCGATCTAAGCTGTGGAAACGTTGTGTGAGACTTCGTATTTGGATTATTGTATATTCATGGCAGGTCCGCTCATGACAATGCGAGGGAAATATCAAAATATAAGTAAGATTTATTACAGTAGAGGGTGTCAAATGGGACAGGAGTGGCACCGAACCAGCATTTGTCAATGGGAAGGGGAATGAGAATGATGATTTAGGTACACGATTATTTGTACATAAGAGAGCCGTATCTGCAGTTAAGAGGGTAGAGTTTTTTATTGCTATTGGGGTGGAACTAAGTCCCTTGTACTGCGGCCACTTCTGGCCTATTGTACCAGCCCCAAATGATAGGCGAGGGTTATTGTGGAGCAATTCGTGGAATGAAGATTGGCAGGGGAAACCGAAGTACTCGGAGAAAACCTACCCCAGCGCCACTTTGTCCACCACAAATCCCACTTGACAAGACCCGGTATCGAACCCGGGCAGCCGCCGTGGGAAGCCAGCGACTAACCGCTTGAGCTATGGCGCGGCCTTAGAGTTTGTTAGTGATAGGATGTCATACATAATACTAAGAGGTCAATGGTTTGATATCATCGTTCTGAATGTTGCTGTCCCAAAGGAAGATAAATCTCATGACCTGAAGAATGGCTTATCTGATGAATCACGACTAGTATTTGACAATTTCCATAGATAACAAAAGAAAATTTTGTTAGAATATTTCAATACCAAAGTAGGTAGGGAAGACATTTTCAAAACCAACTGGGAATCACAGTTTTACGTTTTACAGAAAAACATAAACAACATGACAACTTTAATATTAAACTGCAATATCCTGTTGCACTGCGTAGATATGAGTTTGCGTTCCGCTTTTTTGCCGTCTGTGTGCAACGTCGGTTAATATTCTCTCGTCTTTTCTCTTTATTGTCACTACATGTTTCGGCCTAACCGGCCGTCATCAGGTGTACAGGATGTTGTGACTGAGGAATATTAACCGGCGTTGCAAATAAGCGGCAAAAAACAAACGGAGTGCAAAGTCAGGTACCAATTTTAGTTTTAACAAAAATATCCCTTTCTTGTTGCAGCAACAGAAATTACAATTACATTTTTAAACAATGTAGTGTGAATTAGAATAACAAAGGGTTCCGAATTTCACTCAAGAAAAATTATAGCAAGTACTCGAAACAGATGCCATTGCACGAAACATGTAACTTGCCTAATGCGTGGGCAGAGAAGTGATGATTTCCAGAAAAAGTTTATCAGAATAAAGGGTCCTGACGGGGCTACCGTATGTCGGAGGGGCGTAATTGTTTAGAACACGTCAGAAACAATCTAAGACAGACATGGTAACCAAAATTTTTTTACTGACAAGGAGAGTAAATATTGGGTCTTCGAAACTCGATTGGAGTTTTCACAAACATTTGGAGTAATTTGTAGTTTTTACAAAGAAATAACAAATTTATCTGTTGTGCTTCCTGCTTTCGCCTTCGTGAGCCCTTAAATTTCCTGTGATTTACAGTATAGGGCAAAAATATAATTTCAAATCTAATATGACTTCAGTAGTATAACTGTTTACAATTGGTTACGAAGAATTTTAAATAATGGAGGGTTACAGGTGGGTTCTCTAAGAGCAGGAGTTTTCATCAGGTCTTCAAAGTTCGATTAAGTTTTTCATCATACTACACAGTAATTTACAGTTCCTACTTGGGACTGTCACATTTCTCTGCTGTGTCTGCAATTTTCTCCATAAACTTTCTGAGTAGTTAACTTGCCTCTGACTACTACCCTCAGACAGACATCCCATGATTCCTCTAATGACTATGAGACCTGTGTAACATCCCCCTTAGCATTCTTGGTTGTCTAACTCATCTGTGGCTCTTTCTGTGGGAAACACTTCCCATGACTCTTGTATTTAACTTCGAGGGTCCTGTATCTTGCTCCTCACTACTATCATGAATTAAGAAAAACGCCTCGTGAGTCCTTATTTGACTTTCAGATTTCCATAAGTAACTTCCGTTTATTCTCTTGAGCAGACATCCAGAGATGCTGTATTCGTCTTTGGGTTTCTGTAACATCCATATGACTATTGCCTTGGAACAGACTCCTATGATTCCTATAATTTATTTTTCAAATCCCGTCATTGGACTCTAGATGCAACCCTGAAGCAGAATCACGTGACTACAGAGTTATCTCACCTCTGACTGACACCTTGAGGCAGACATCCTCTTCTTTTTCACAAGTTCTTTTGAAACTTCTATTTTCGAACGGATCGCTACAATGAAAGACATCCCTCATATCGACTGGACACTTGTAACATTCCAAGGCAAAACCTGAAATAAGTTATTGGAAATTTATACAAACAACAGGCTGCTGACAGCATAACTCCAGTGCAATACTGACATATGTACAAATACGAGAGCCTACTAACGGTGGTGGCCGAACCCCTATTCTTCAATATGTCCATACAACCCATTCTGCGGACAGTAGTGGGTCACTATAGCGCTGTAATATGTTAAGATAACATAGCCCACTGACAGCTTTTGTCAAGGGCAACACTTATATAAATCTATATAATGAATGCTACTGGCACCTCTTGTTCAACACACCAACAACTTTTCAGAAATCACGGGGAGATGAAAAATTTCGCGAAGGGATACACTATTTATGATGAAACTGGCAATTCTTTGCAAAAACAAGCAAGTGTACTGAGATCGAAGTTTGAAGCTAATATTGCTTTATATCAAATTCCATATAAATATGTCTGATGAGTAGGTTAAAACTAACGACAGATTTCTAAAGTAAAATTAAAATTATTTTTTAATTAGATTCAGCAGATTATGTATAATAAATCTTCCTAATGACATGCTTTGGGCGACAGTAATCTGATCCCTTTTTTTTTTTCCTTGGCACTACAGCCCAGTGGGCCTAGGCCTACCTCCATGAACTTCTCCGTTCACTTCGGTTTTTCTAGATCTTGCACATTCGGTAGGATTCCTTGGGCGAGTGATGAGCTCGTCGCAAGGCCTCTACCTGTACACAAACACAGAAAAATGCACACACACAAACTAAACATCCATGCCCTGAGTGGGATTCGAACCCAAGATCCCGGTTTCCAAGCGAGCGAAAACAGTACATGCCTTAGACCAAGGGTCTCCAAACTACGGCCCGCGGGCCACGTGCGGCCCGCGATGTGATTTTATCCGGCCCGCGAAAGAATTGTGCAGAAATGCGCCAATTGAACTAATTTTCCAATGAGTACTGGTAAATGTGATTCTGAGCTTATTGACCTGACATATTATACTGCAGTTCGATGGCTTAGCTGTGGAAAGGTTCTTTCGCGCTTCTTTCAGCTCAGGAATGAAATTGATATATTTCTTACCAAGAAAAACCATCACGAACCACGTTTATCAGATACCAAGTGACTTTGGAAATTAGCAGTTTTGCTGATCTGGTAAACAATATGAACCATTTGAATTTAAAGTTGCAGGGTGAAAATAACTTAGTCTGTGATTTATTTGCACTTATCAAGGCATTCAGAGCAAAGTTGATACTTCTGGAAAGGCAAGTGAAAAATTTTAACTTTGTCCATATGCTATACTGTGCAGAGTTGCATAAAAAGGGTGAAGCAGAATTTCATTCCTCGTTTGCAAATTTAGTCATTTTAGATTTGAAAGAACAATTTCGGAAGCGATTTGGTGATTTGGATGTCAGTGCTCAGGAAATTAGATTGTTTCAAAATCCGTTTGACTGTGATGCTGCAGATGTCCCAAGTCAAATTCAAATGGAAATTATTGAACTTCAGGAAAATTATCATATTAAAGACAAATACAAGGAAGGAATTTTGATCGAATTTTATATATTTGTGAACTCTGGGCAATTTCCAAATTTAAAGAAATTTGCTTGTAAATTTATCTCCATTTTTGGGACGACGTATCAGTGTGAACAGACTTTTTTCCCAGATGAAGTAGATCTAGTCGAAATACAGGGCAAATTTACCCGATGAACTTTTAAAGTCGCTACTTGTGATTAGCGTTTCAAAATTTGAACTTCAATTTAATCAGATTTTAAGAATGCAAAAAGAGTTCCATAATTCACATTAATTGTTTTAATATAATTTGTGATGAAAATATGAGCATTTGCTGCTACTGTCTGTTATCATTAATATACGATAATTTATTTTCACGTACTTTATATTTAGTATATGAAATTCTGTGCTTTCAGTAAAACTCATATACCTAGAGTTATTAATTTCTCTTTTTATCCGGCCCGTTGAAAGTGCTGAATTACCTAATGTGGCCCGCGGTTCGTAAAGTTTGGAGACCCCTGCCTTAGACCAATCGGCTACCGTGACCGGCACATCTGATCCCTTTAACGGAGCCTAAATATCTGAATGATGAGAGAACGGAAAATTAGAGGGATGGGAAGGAAATTCAGGAGAGAGGGGGGAGGAGAAAAAGACACGGACGATATGGAAGATGAGAGCATGGGTGAGAGAGATGAAAAGATCAAAGGAACTGCTTTTCTTGAGAGAGCTTGCATTTGAACTCAAGGGCCATGTCAAACGACAAGATTAGATTCTTAACAGTGCCATCCTGAAAAAAAAAAATCGTATTTTTGTGGTCTTGCTATTTTAATGACCTTGAAATCGTAACCGATCATTCCTTCCCAGAGTCATTTATACATATTACCAGTAATTATATAATCTCAAATATATTGATATTTCAAGACTTAATATTATTTTTTTATTAATAGTGATATATGGTCAGTTCTTGCTATACTTAACCTGAGAATTATTAACAAGGAACGCTTAGATAAGTCTCTTGTGGCCCGACACATCTCAAGACAGCTAGCGTGATATATGTGGCAGTTACAGCAGCCAAGTTTCTAGAAGCTTTCAGAATCTGTTAGAAGGCTCTTGAAGTATTTAAATTAATTATGCCAATTCTACAGGCTGTGTAAATTAGCTTTGTGGACCCCGTAGTTGGCCAGTCAATCAAAGTTGAATTACGACGAGGTTTATGTCATATGATGCAAGTGCTAGTTAACTTCAAATGACGTTTTGCAAGAGGAGTCGTCCACCAGTTTTCTTGCAAGCTAGATAAAAAAATCCGAGTCTCTTAGTCCCATAAGTCTGTGTTATCACAGGATAGTGATACAAGTGAAAATGATATCAGTCTTAAGGGACTGATTAGGTATCCTAGAAGTGCTGAAGTGTGAATTAATGTGGCTCTGTGTTGCGTTACTTGTGATCTAGTAAACTTCTTGGCGAAGACTGTCTCGCCGAAGCAGGATTCCTTAACCTCTGAGAAAGAACTCTTTTACTGACCGACTTAATAGTAGTCCCACCACCGTTCCCACGTCTCTAACCCCTATCGCTTACGATTCCTAAACCCAACGGCGCCCAAAAATGGCGAGGAGACGGCGACAATAAAAGGCGGACCACGCGTGACGACATCGACGGCCCATAAAAGAAAAAAAAAGGTAAAGCTATCCGTGTAGCAGGCCATAGAAGCCCATAAGGTTGTGAGACGCCGAGGCTCCCACATTTTCTCTACATAATCGGCTCACAGATGGCGGTGAGGTTTTCAGCCTTAAGCGTCGGTCGCCTTTACCCCCCTCCCTTCTCCAGGAAGATTCCTGTTTCTCATTTCTGTTAGATTCTGAGTCGACCTCAGGGCCATATTGAAGCTGGAAGGATCAGGTAACTTGAAAAAATCCACCTCATCGGGACTCGAACCCGCAACCTTCCGGCTTGTAGCATAGTGCCTCAACCAACTACGTTAGCGCGTGGCCTTCCATAAAGGAAATGCAGTTATAAAATGGCACAAAGAAGTGCGGGGCAGTTATAAAACTTAATGTTACAACTGAAGCCTAATGAATTGTTAAATGGCAAAATAAAGAGAGACCGTGAGTCCTTCCTAGGAACTGTCAACGGGAATTACAGTATTTCTGAGTAATTAACACGCCTTGGTATCTCAGGTAACTGTCACTAAGCAAATGCACATTTGTGGGTAGGCTCAAAGTAATGTTCTTCTAATCTATGTGTTCTCAGTGACTCCTGCGGATATTTTGTGCTCCACTACGACAAGAGAATGCTGATACTCAGTTATCGCGTATTAAGTGATATGTGGATTGATGAATATTGCGTCTTTTTTAATGTACAGAATGTCCGAGAATGAGTGCACACATTGTAAACACTTTTATTGAGAAAATGAACAGAGCAAGAAAGTTACGGTTTTCACCAGACGACACTGGAATTCTCAAAGCTCTACGTGCGATAAGCATCGCCCATTCTGTGGAAGGTATTGCAACCCCAACGTGTGGCAAAGCTTTCAATGCATTTGAATACCGGACGTTCGTACATCGAGCGAGCAACAAAGGGAGCTGAGTTTGAAGAGCAGTAAAATGGAGAAAAGTGTAGATGGAGGAAGGTGGAGAAAAAGTTTCATGAGCAGCTGGAAAATTGTACTTCCCTAGCTCTTTCTCAACAAAAAATATGTATAATATATGCACTCTTTCTCAGACATCCTGTAGGTTGGTACATTTGCACCAACGATTTGCAGGATCCTATCGCTTCAGGTTTCGGGGTTTACTAAATTTCCCACCCATGTATCAAACTACACGGGGTAACACTTCAGAAATCCGTAATCTTAATATTAACAGCTGAAATAAAAAATATTATTCATCTGAAAATTTCGAAACGTATACACGGGAGGGCCAGCCAATCACCGGTTCCACCGCTTTGCGTTCTAACTCTCCAACATTTCGATTTCGTATTACTACAGGACTGAGGCAAATAAATACGTTTTCAATAAATACTCGTACAACAAAATAAACTCAGCTCACTGTCTGCAAGAAGTTATACATACGCACAAGTGTGTATGATTCCGACAAGGAAAAGCAGTTGGAAACGGCAGAAGTTCATCTTCGGGTCGCCAGGCGATCGTCCTCACAGACTTGCTGCAGACTAGGGACTCCAATAGACTGGCAAGTATCGCTATCAACTTCTCTTATCGCAGTCACTCACAGATAACTACAAGGCAGTACGTGTGTGTTGGCTAACAGTACTATGAAATTTAACGGAGAGCCCACTGTACGTTATAATGTATTGCAAAACTTTCAGATATGACACATGACTTTATCGTTTAATTCTTCCCCTTGGCGCTACAGCTCAAATTTGTGCCTTGGCCTACCTCCATCAAACTATCCTTTTCACTTCTGATTACTAGATCTTAGACATTCGGTAAGACTCCTTGGGCGGGTGATCAGCTCGTCACAAGGCCCTCTACCTGTACACAAACACCCATGCCCTGAGTGGGATTCGAACCCACGATCCGCGCTTCCGAGCGAGCAAAGACAGTGCATGCCTTAAGGTTCGGGCACACAGAGCGCTACGTACGCTATGTTCGCTATACGAACAGAAAAATATCTCCCTTTATTCCCAATGTGACTGGCCACACAGACTTCCGTACGTTACGTACACTATGTTCCCTATGTTACCTTCTTCTCAGTGTACACAGCGTACGTAGCGAACATAGCGTAGCGCTGTGTCGCCGAACCTTAAGACCGCTCAGCTACGGTGACCTGCCTTTATCACGTATAGACTGAATCAAATGTCAGGGACAGATATGCCTTTTGAAGTTCAGACGTTATGTTTTGGAACGCAGATGTCCCATTTTTCGCGTTCTATAACACACTCAAATCCAGCAATAACTCGCATAGTCCGGGTAATCGGATCCGCCAATATCCCGGACTGTTTGAAACCGGACTAATCGAGGAACTAAATACATACAAAAATGATAATTGGTGCAGAAAAATCTCCTTCTTTCAATAGACAAAACGCGATTTATAAATTCAAATGTCTTTATTAGAAATAATTTTAAAAAATTCATGTTTTTCGCAATTCATTTTTATTCTCTAAAAATTGCAACATTGATGTCTGCACATTTTCCTTCTTTGGCCTTTTCTCTTCATACATTCCTTTGTAGCAACGACTTCATTGTTTATCGTTCGGCGAACTGTAAGGCTACGTTCAATATTGGGATCAACTTCAATAATATGCTCTGATAAGATTTCAACCATTCCAATAAATTTTGATAATTGTTCAGCTGTTAATTCTCGTGCAGGCACTTCAACACAGTCGTCGTTGTCTAAGTTGTCCTCCCGTTCTTCATAAGCATGTTGTTCATCTATGTTAATAAGTGTTTCATTATCTAGTTCATTAGTGTTCGATTTGATGCACTCAATCTAACTCATTGAAACCAAGTTGTTGTCCAATTTCCACTATGTTATTAGTGACTTCAGCAAAATGAGTTTCAAAACCAATGAAATCATTTGCACAATGTGGTATGATATGTTTCCATACTGCCCTCATATTGCTTGCAGTTAATTCATGCCACGCTTCGCCTGTATTTTCGATAACGTTTCTGATGTAGCTCTTCCAAAATTCCGCTAAAGTAGTGCTCTCCCCACCTCCTCCAGCAATAACTGTCAGAGCTCAAGAATGAATGACCCGAGCATAGGTACATACATATAGAACGGGGAACCCCAGAAAAAAATTAAATATATATCGCATCGTATAACTTTTAAACCACATAAAATAAACCGCACAAAAAGAGACTTGACTGTATAAAGGGAAAACCCCGATCATTTATGTATTAAAAATAATTTTGTGTACTAATTTTTTAGAATTTACTTTTATTTTGCTCAATTAAAATTTAGTTTGTTTTGAAATTTTCAAACCAGACTATAGTGAAGCCGGACTATGCGAGGTATTGCTGTATTTGAAATGATCAGCATTTGTTGAGCTTGTTTGTTTCTTGGATCAGAGGTCTCCCATGCTTAGGAACAGGAATAGATCAGTGAAATGATTTCGTTATCTAATTCCACGAAACTGAATCTTGAGAAGCCGAGAATTGATCAATCACTAAAAATATTTCCAGCGTTTTATGAAACCTGAAGTTTGAGCATCGTGTTCACAGGAACCTGCAACTGGTGTCTCTCCCGAACCAGATCTGTTTGTCCACACTGTCGCACCCCATATGCTCCAGATTTAGTTCTTCTTTTCTTCGCATCTAAGCCCAAATATTCTCAATGGTCTCTTTCTTCCATATTCTGCGACAAGTTTCCATACAGCAGACGGGTATTGGGTTGCTAATTTGATTTATTGAACATACACATATCGTAACTATAGCACTATCACTGATTTACACTACAGCACGCACTGTATATTCTCAGTCTGCTGTCTTCACTAGTTGTTGCCTGGTCGAGACGTCCATTGGCGGACGTTAAACTTCCTCTGGGTTCCCGAGCTGTTCCCTGTCTCAGGTATCAACTTTCACAGCAGCAGCTCACAAAGACTGATCCGAAGCAGTTCTCTGACTCACAAATGCACTTCACTCCACTCTACTTACGCAACTGAACGTGGTATACTAACTGTCCTACTTATAACACTTAGGCATGGACCACACAGAAAACACCATTCCTCTGTTGCTGTAACCGTTGTTGCGTAAGCGGCCATCAGCGTAGGCCGCGCAGAAAAAGCCTCTTTCAAGCCAGTCCCTTGGCGTTTGTTAGGAATCTGTTCGCTAGAAACGGGCATTGTTTACAGAGTCATTACTTAGTAGCGGGTCTACATGCTACAATATAAAATTTATTTTCCATGCATGCTACATGCCATGCCCATATCATCCTTCTTGTTTTGGTCTGTCTAGCAAAATTTGATCGGCTGCTGTGTGGTCTCGACGCTGAAAGTATCGTTAAATTTACAGCGGGAGAAACTATAGATGAGCCAAAATTATGAAGCTCCTCATTGCGCAATTTTCCTCGGCCTCATCTCAGTTCCTCCCTCTTATATCCAAACACTCTCCTCAGCACCCTTTTCTTGAACACCTCAGTTTATGTTCTTCTCCCACATTTCCTCACCACTTTTCACATGTTCTCATTATCATAACTGCCGGTTCAGTGGAACCCCTGTTTCATTTGACACTGTGTACTTTCACTTAGTGAAACTTGCACTTTGCTAAAGCCAACTGCTGTCTCATTGCTTGGCAACCGTTTAATTCATCAGCCAAAAAATATGGCGATAAATAATGGAACATTGGTATTCAAGACTGAATTCTTACGAAAGTCACAAGACATAAGAAAATTCATTGTTTCAGTACAGATCATTTACAGAATTGATTGAAGGAATTTCACTTATAAATGTTTGTTCGTCTATGCAAGACCACGGAGATTTCTAGGCAAGGCAAACGTGAAGGGAACCTGTGCGTTGTTGGCTGAACTGATATAAGAGGAAGAGCTTCTGATTCATTCCTTTTAGTCAGTGCTCGAATGTACACAGTGTATCCAGGTTCTGATAGGACTGTGTTTATTAAAAATACAAGACGTGAATTATTTCCAAAATTTCACTCTTTTTATTCAAAATAGTGTCCTTCTGAATAAATACATAGCTGGAATCGATTGAAAAGTTTTCGAAAACAGTCACTGTACTCCTTTTGTGGAATCGCATTTAAAACTACGGTACATTCCTTTTGGATGTCCTGGATGGTGTCTTGACGGTCTCCTTTCATCGCCAACTTACTTTTGGGAGCAACCAGAAATCTGCTGGAGCCAAATCTGGCGAATACGGAGGATGATCAAGGACTGTGATCCATTTTCTGACCAAGAAATCGAGCACGATCTTCTATTTGTGGGGTGGAACTTTGTCGTGGAGGAGCGACCATGAACCTTGCTCTCGATATTCAGGTCGAATTCGAAGAATTCTCGCCCACAAACGATTGAGGACTCCGAAATAATAATCATAATTCACTGTTTGACCTTCTGGCAGAAATTTCTTGTGAATTACTCATTTGGAATCGAAGAAAACGGTTAGCAGTGTCTCAATGTCTTTACTCGACACTTTTCCATGCGCACTTTCTTAGGTTTCGGCTTCTTTTTTCTCAACCACGCTGCACTCTGCTGCTTTGTGAGAGGCTCATATTGAAAACACCATGTCTCGTCACCAGTAACAATCAATTTTGTAAATTTTGTATCACTTTGGGCCGATCGTAACATGTCTTTGCAGTGTTCCACTCTGGCATGCTTTTCATCGCCTGACAGCGCGTGCGGTACAAACCGCGCACAGACCTTCCGTTTGCCCAAATCCTCGGTCAAAATTTGATGCACAGTTCTTTGTGGCATTCCAAAAAGCTCCTCAATTAGTCTTGCAGAAACACATCTGTCTGATGCAAGGATTTCGATCATTGTTTTCACATTTTCTTCAGTGCTACTTGTTCTCGGCTTTGATGCAGGTGGAGCGCCTTCAATGTCCTCCTTGCCGTCACGAAATACAGCATACCATCGAAATTGTTCGAGCGACTAAAATAATCACTACCGTACACACTTTCCATCATTTCGTACTCTTCTCCGGCTGT